GCGTGGCCATTTCCCCTCTCAGCCTTCTTCCATTTTTCTGTCCTGGGCCTGGACATCTTGGGGCATCTCACCGCAGCACGACATGCCCTCAAAGCCTGCACAGACACCAATATGTAAGTGACCCGTTATAGAGAACATAGCCCTTAAACCTTAAGAAGAGACTCCCAGTGGGACGTCAATGATAGAGATGGGACCTATCTCCATGTTTCCAAAAGTCACCCTAAAAACATACATTGACTCTTGATGAAGCTGAAAAGATTAACTAACAGTCAATGTTGCACTGATTTAAGCTGGAATTACATTGATTCTGTGTGGTAATACTATTTATTTCAACATGATTAGAAATTCTGATGGACGCTTCCTACGTTTTTGATGAGTGAAAATGGGAAGTCTTAACAATATGGTCTGTTTTGCAAGAAAAGCCCATGAAAACCTGAATTCAATGGGAGAAATTAAGAAACAATGCCCATGGTGATGAAATATCTGGGAATCACCAAGCTAAAAGGAAAAAATGCAAATCATAGAATATTAGGCACAAGACAAGGTGTATCTGAGCATCTGGGGAAAAGGGTCGTGGCACATAGCACACTGGGTGCTAATCTTCCCTTCTTTTCAGAGAACACTGCTGCACTCCAAGCAGACACTGCCACATATGCCCCCGTGTGTTCCTAGCCCCTGATGAGAGTTGACTGGACATTCTGGACACAATCACCTATAAGTGGTGTGGCTGGGTCAAAAATAATGAGCCAACTTGATCATATTTCTCTCTTGGAAATCAGGAATTCGCAAACTGAGAGATGGAGTCGGTTTCCAACAGAGGTGGGAGACAGGAGGCCATGTGAAAAGTTGTGCTGGGAGGTGGTGGTGTGGGGAATAACTCCCTCATAGCGGGTGGAAGTTGCATGGGAATGGTGGCCCATGAGCGGGCAGGAATGTCAGTCCAGAGCATGGAGAAAGGAGCAGATGTGGAGAGGAGGAACTACTTCATTGGCAGTGACTCTGGGAGTGGGGTTCGTCCCAGCTCCCATGAGACCTGGATGTATATTCTATCCCCTGCGGAGTAGAGGGCCCACTGGGGGAAAACAGCCATGGAATTTCCTGGAAAATGCCACCTGGGAGTGGAGAGAAGAGCACACAAGGGTGTGGCCCTGGACGTCTCCCGTAGGAATACCAAAGTAAAAATGAACGAACACCATTCCGTTGGGCCAGATTATTTTGCTGGTTATTACTCTTTGTATTATTTTCCCTCTATTCTCTGTACTGTGATAGACTGAAGGATTGGTCCTATGTTTTAATTTTTTCAAGTTTATTTATTTATTTTGAAAGAAAGAAAGAGAGAAAGCAAGGGAGGGGCAGAGAGAGAGGAAGAGAGAGAATCCCAAGCAGGCTCGGCACCATCATCCCAGAGGCCAATGTGGGTCTCGAGCTCACAAACCATGAGATCATGACCTGAGCCGAAACCAAGAGTTGGATGCTGAACTGACTGAGCCACCCAGGCAGCTCTGGTTCCATTCTTTACTGTTCCCTGCATCCGCACTCATACCACTGCCTCATAGGGAGCAAGACTTCCCTGCCTCTGGACCTTGAGCATGGCCATGTGACTTGCTTTGGCCAATGGCGTGAGAGGTACATGAGAGTGTATGAGTTCTAAGTGTAGGCATCAAGAGAGCTTGCATGTTGTGTCTCATCCCCTGCCAGGAGGCGAGCATGCCCTGGTAGCCCGCTGGTATCACAGGGTGAGAAACATGGGGTGGAATTAAATCAAACCTTGGCCGGAAGCCAAGACCAGTAGAGTTGACATGGGGTCAGCAGCGCCACCCCTGCCCACCTGCACACACAAGAAAAATTAACACCACTGAAATGTTCCTGTTGTTTACATAAAACTTTTGCGGAAGTAGCTAAATGGTAAGATCCCTTTACAAAGATTAGATTAAAAGTTCCTAATTTGGGCCCCAGTGATGAGAGTATAGCACCCCATTGAGCCTAAAGGGTGCTGATCACGGTAGATAGCAAGAGATTCCCTAAGGGATATAGATCTTTGGGGCAGAGGAGCAGGGCTGCGGGTCCAATCTTTCCTGTCCACGAAGAGATTCCCGTTTTTTCCAGCCTTGTAGGATTTCATTTTACTTTATTAAACACAGTTGGTAAGGACCTCCTCATGCCTGAGGTACACTGGGCTGGTTCTGATGGCTGTCCACAGAGGTGACCATCAACGCTACAACTCCCTGTCTCTTTTACACTTACCTGCCACCTTGTGGCTGCATTTTTGCTGATGAAACAGGACAGGAAGAGAGAAGCGCTACATTTGGGCCCATGTATTAAGAGAGGGCCATGCCTCCTCACTTTCCCCTTCCTGCCACCTTGACCATGAAGACAAGGACACTTCACTAGACCAGTATAAAGTGTGGTTTGTGCCTCGGCTGCTCATCCTTGACCCTTTTGTTACACATCTACAACACGATAAAGAGCTCGTGCCAGAATGCAAAACAACTACATCACTAACACATTGTTTAGCTTGGCTGACATTTTTTTCCCCCACAGTGAGATGTTCTCCACGAAGGAAGCAGTGCATTGATTTACATTTTGGTGCAAGCTCCTTGTCTCCTTGCAGAACAGCCTTTTGAGGAGCGACACACTAGGGAACGGGAGAGGTACAAGATGTAATAAGCCCGGATTCCTGAATGTCCATGTGGAACAGAGCAGCTTTCCAACGGCCAACACCTGCTCTGGGCTATAACACAAAAGAGAAACAGACCTGTCTTATGAACATGGCGTTGCATTGTGAGATGTCTTTCTCTTTCTCTCAATACCATTTGAGCTAAGCCAGTGGAGTCAATCGTCTCTACTTGGCAGGGCTGTGGTGAGGATTTTCAAAGGCAGAAGAGCAGTTACTCAGCCAAGAACTGTTAGGTCTCATTCAAGACTCACCAAATCAAGTGTGCTACGGTTTCTTTCTCTAACTGGTAACAATCCAGTCTTCTCTGGGCAGGAGATTGGCCTCAGGCTCCTCTACCTGCAGGACAATGCATCTGTTCACGTTTATTGGATCTGCTCTTGTGCCCAGGAGTGGGCCAGACACTGTGGATGCAGCCCTGAGCAAGACTGACACAGTCACTGCCCTTATGAGTGGCAAAGCAAGTCACATGTCCAAGCCCAAGGCTGGGCACAGACAGCCTGTGCACTGGGATGCCTAGCGGAAGGCCAGAAGTGAATGGAGGGACCCAGGTACTTCCTGGCCTGCGGGAGACACAAGCAACAGTAGTTTGGCCGAATCAGCAGAAGAGTTGCACTTTTAGTACCAGCGTTCCTACACTTTAATGTATTTACAGTGTTTTCCCGTGGTCTCATGGGAGAAAAGCATCATTTAAAGATCATTTAAATAATCTTGATTAAATTAAGAAAAGGCCATTTTTCTACAACCTAATCTGGAAAGATGAAAGTTTAATGCTCCCCCACCAAAGATCGAAGATTGTAGAGGGCATTTAGACCTGAACGTTCCTTAGGTTAGTTGTTCATGAACCAAATACATACTGAACACCGCTATGATCCAGCGTCTCTTCAGGAACACAGGGGGATAAAACCAAGTCCCTGTGTTTACGGTAAAGTTCAGAGCCAAGTGGGAGGTAGCAAGTCTATGGATGATCACCTGACAGTCGTACCTCTGCTTACTGATGGGATGAAGAGACTGGGAAGCCAGGAGAGATGGAGTCCTGGCCAAGACCGAGTGTGGACCTTTCCTCCTGATTTTCACTGGCTCGTTCTCTCAGGAGAGTAGTACGTCTTTCCTCCGCTAATCGCTGTGATCTTAAAATTAGCATTTTTTTTTTACGTTATAGCCAGACACATGCATGGAAATACTCTTTCAAGCCCAAGGATGGTCAGTGGTGCAATGTGCACACGTAGCCCTCCAAGAATAGCACAAATATAATGAACCACCGGACAGTGGAGAAAAGTGTAGGATTTCAACTTCAACAGTATCAACACCAGAGCTGAGGAGGGACACCTGCACTTGGTGAGGAGTCACACAAATAACCCCTCAGCTCCTGCAGCCCTAAACGTGGAACAGTATTCTACCAGCTTCTGCCCCCCCCCCCCCCCCCCCCCCCCCCCCCGGGCATCCAGGGCATTGGGACTGGGGAGCGTCGGAGTGCTGCCCTTAACCATCCTTCACATCTGAGACCCTGAGGAGCAGAGTGGAGTTGAGCACCTCTGGAGACGTGTGTGCCTCGCAGTTTAGGGACCCTTTGAGCTTTCTGGTAGATCCAGCCTAGGGACATCGGCGTAAAAGCAGCTTCTTCATGGAAGCAATATGCTCATGAAAGAGGCCAGGTGTATGATAAAATTACTGTTAGCTCGGTTCACGTAACCTATCCTTCCCGCTGCTTCCTGCAGCTCTTCATACAAGCGAGCAAGGGGGGCTCTGAAACCCCAGGTGGGGTGAGGCTATTGCTGGTGGTGGTGAGAAGGGGGGGGGTCTGTAAGAGGGGCTGCGAAGAGGGAGCTGGTCCACGGAGGGGGAAGGGTGTGAGAATCAGAAGTCCCTCGCTCTCCCGGATCCTACCCACTTCCAGTAAAGCATCCTCTGGGCTTACCCCCTCCACCCCAACCCCGCCCCACCCCTGCGACCCGGCCTCGGGGTCGCGGCTCCCCCCCCCCCCGCCCCTGCAGGGTCCGAGGGCAGCTAGCACCGCGCCCCCGGGGGCGCGGGGGAGGAGGCCCGGAAATCGCGGCGGAGCGGGGGCGTCGAATGTGGGCAGAATGACTCCCGTGCGGGCCGGGCGGACGCGACCCCGAGGGGAGGCGGAGAGCGCCGAGTGCACATCGCCCTCCCCCGGCGGGAAGACGGATGGGCTTCGGGGACGGCTGCCCCCGACGCCCCTGCTCGCAGGGACACGTCAGAGCGCCCGGGGCCGCGGCGGCGGAGCCCCCCGCCCCCGCCCGCGCCGCCTATAAAGTCGGGGGCCTGGCGGCGGCGGCGGCGGCGCGCTCCGAGTCCCGGTCCTCGGCCGCTCGCTCCGCGGCCAGCGCGCCCTCCGCCAGCCTCCCCGCGCGCACCATGCGCCGCCGCCAGCTGCCGCTCGTCCTGCTGGCGCTGGTCCTCTGCCAGGCGCCCCGGGGCCCGGCCGCCCCGCTGCCGCCGGGCGCGGGCACCGTGCTGGACAAGATGTACCCGCGCGGCAACCACTGGGCCGTGGGTGAGTGTCCCGCGCGCGGCAGGACCGCGGCCGCCGGGGCCCCGGCTCCCCGGCTCTGCGGGTGGGTCTGCCCCGACCTCTCCAGCCCGGCTCTGCCGAAGCTCCAACCCCCGGCCCCACCGCCCGCCGCGGCCCCGGGAAGACGGCGGTCCCCGAGCGGCCTCCGGGCGGGCCGGGGCCCCTGTCCCGCGCGCCCTTCCCGCTGCCCGCGGGGAGCCGGGCCAGCGCGCCGCCCAGCGCTCCCTCGGCACCCGGCTCACGCCTCCTGCGAGGCGCGCGATCGCGGCCTCGCCTCGCGCGCTTCTGTCCTCGAACGACGTGGGGAGCCGGCTCCCCGAGCGTGTCCCGGGGCCCTGGGGGGACCCCGGCCGCCGCGAGCGGGACGCGGGCTGCGCGCGGGCCCAGAGCACGGCCACAGGTGCGGGAGCGCGTCCCGGGGGCCCCGGCTGCTGGGCGGGCGGGGCCGGAACGCCGCCGCAGGTCTGTGGGTCTCTCCAGTGCCCTCGGTCCGCTCGCCCCGGCCCTTCCTCCTTCCTCCTCCGAGGCTCCGGGCTCCCGCTCCCCGCGCCGATCCTGGCCTCTCCGTCCCCGAGACCCCGCTGGCCTCCGCCTCCCTAGACCGGCGACCTGGCCCTGTCCCCGAACTCCTTCCTCCTTCCCGCTGCCCTCTGGTCCCGGCCTCCGGGTCCGGGCCGGGAGTGCGCTGTCCGGCCCCGGACGCCAGCGGCGAGGACCGGGCGCCACGGTGGGGACGGCGACCTCCGGGGTCGGGCGGCGGGGCGCGCACCCACAGCTTTCCCGCAACCGGCGGGAGGGTAGCGACCCCTCAGCGTCGCGCTGGCCCAGTGTCACCCCGGGGGGGTCTCCGCCGCGCCAACCACAGCGTCCAGCTTTCTCGGGGACGTCCCCCTATGGCCAACTCCGACTTCCCGGGAAGCTGGTCCATCCCGAAGAGATTTAAGGGGTGGTGGTGGTGATGTGCGTTTCCCTACGTCTTTCGCCATCTACTCAGAGTGTGGGAAGGTGTGTTGGAAAGATACTTACTTGCTAATCCAAATATCAGCCGATTCACAGATGGTGTCAGGACCAGGACGAATTTCTGGAAAGAGGTGAGGCTGGAACTGTCACGCCCTCAGCGGCTCTGTTGCATGTGCCCTGTCAGAGAAATCCACAGCCGGGCGTGCAACAGGGCAGTTAGTTTGCACCGTCGCCAGAAGCACAGTTCGCCAAGTTTTGGCAGCCCCGAGGTGAAGGTATTTGTGATCTCTGAGGGACACCCGGAACCCAGCAGGCATGGAGGGGAGAGGTTGGGCCCAGTGAAGATGAAAACCCCTACCCTTGAAGAGGGAAGGATATCTGCAAGGTATTACAGAAGCCAGACCTAGAATGGATACTTTAAAGGGGCTTCTGGGAATTTAGAGGGAGTGGCCATTGTCCAGTCCAGCCACCAGCCAGTGGGCTGGAAAGGTGGAATGAAACTCTCAGATTTCCAGTCTCCTTTTGCTTCCTCCATATTTTTGTACTAAAAGGGTTTATTATTAGGTAACTCTAACCACTAAAAGCAGGACAAAGAGAGTTATCAGGGAGGCTAGAGCCATGTTGTTTCTGATGCAAGCCAACCTCCATGGCTGTAGTTATAGAGCACATCTGCCCCCCCGGGGATTTAGTGAGCCTGGCATTTAAACGCCCTTCCTTCATGGTGGTGCTGGGGCATTCCTAGAGCACACCGACCAGTTGGCAACCCCAAATTTTCTTATTTTCCTATTCGTTCTCGAATTCTCTTTTTTCCCTTTTTCTCTCTTGGCTGGCTGGGCAGAGTTGATGAAGAACAAGAGACAGAGGGAGGTGAAGTAGAAAATCACAGTTGGGTCTAAAATAACATTGTGAATGAGAAAAAGTTTGCTTTGGACAGGCGTGCTCTCTGTGGGGATCTGAGCACTCATGAGCATGAATGATGTTAGATTTTTAAGCCTAGCTCTCCACTACCCTAAATAAACGCCTGGCCTCCTCAACCACTGAAGGCATGCAGTTTCATGTTAATTCCATCAACGGAAGCCTACATATTGCTGTCCATGAGGAAGCTGTCAGCACACATTTGCAGGTTTGTCAAGGGAACTGCTTCTTGCAGCCGAGAGAGGCATGGTGTGGCAATGGAAAGCAAGTTAACAGATGGAAAACTTAAATTCTTCTCTGGCTTGACTTTTATGGAAATGTTTTGTTTGTGCAATGAACACAGAGGTCAACACTGATACTGGTACCTCTCTCTTTTGCTCCCACGAAACGCTGCTGGTAGTGGCTCTAATGTTGATGCCCAAGCATGTCCTGGAAGGTTGAATACTGAAACGCCAATGGTCAGCCCCAGATGCCTTTCATTATGGTGCTGCCCCAGAAACTGTGAAGTATAGCTGACGAATCACTCCCAAACACCCAACTCTTAGAAGTGCTCAACACCTTATGTCTTAACGGATAGTTTCCTAAGTTGAGGTGATCTTCAAATGTGGAGTTCAAGAAAATTGATTTATGTTTCAGATCTGCTCTTTGAGTGGTATTTTTAAGCAATTCAAAGAGACAAAAGCTTTTTTTTTTTTTTAACTTCAGGACAAGGTTGTATTTTTTTCAAGGGCCTGTCTTTTGTCTATGCTGAGATCTCTATTACTGTGATATGGACACATAACAAGTGATGATGGGAGAAGTAGAGGTGGACAGATCATCTGTGTTCATGTCGCCATGGATACGATGATTGTGTTGGTAGTCACTGGCTCCACAGTGAAATAGGACCCAACGAGTGTGTGCTTCCCTGGGATGTTATCGATGGTGCATTTCCAGTCTTACTAAGCAGTCCGTGGATCTGGGGTAGGAGTCTGAACTCCACCCACCCACCAAATATGCAAATGTGCAAATATGCACACTGTCACAAAGATGGATGGTAAATCAATCACAGATGGAAGATTGCTTTATCTTCCCGTTTTAGAAAAGCCCACCGAATTCTTCGGGCCTGACAACAGTGAGGTTCCTATTTGTAAAAACATCTCCATCAGCCCTCTGCTTTGTTGGCAATACCACCTTTCTCATTTCTAGCATCCTCATGAGAGCAATAAGGGAAAGCAAGAGGGCCGGCGGTCAGCACTGGGGCATCAGGTTCTAATCCTGCCCTTCCCATTATCATGATTCAATTTCCTCCATATAAATAAAGCCAAATGCTTCATTGCTTCCTGAGAAGTTGTGCAACATAATCACTGTTAGGGCTAAAAGCCAGGTTATTTTGTGGATATCCAGGCCCCCAGTTGACAAAGCAGGCAGGGGAGGCGTCACTCCTTCAGGACTGCAGTCCCTCAGTTGGGAGCATGTCCCAGCTGTGTGAGGTATCGTGTCATAAGTGACTTGGCAAGGGCTCAGACGGCAATGCAGTAAAAACCCCATGTTAAGGCTCCCCGAGACCCACCGAATTAATTTCTCCGAGTCACATAAGGAGTCACGATATACTGATATATGATCCCTATTCCTCTTTATAACATTAGAAAGCCTTTTGTAGGCCCTTACCCTTATCTCCAGACACCAGAATCATTTCTACCTGCCTTATATTTTCAGGAAGTTCAAAGACACTTCGGAGCAGTGTACTATAGTAGAGCCTGGACTGTGAGCTGGTTTTAATCCCAGGATTTTTGCTGACACGTGGGTGACCTTTGGCAAGTTGCGTTTTCATCCACCTTATTTAGTGGAGTAGATCAAGTGAAACGTCTGTAAACATGCGTCTGCAGTAAGGTCACACAAGAGCTTCCCTGTTGGTGGACGGAGCTCTTGCCATCTTAAGTGACTGAGGTCTGTTAAATATTATTCCAATGCCGTTTGCCTTAAATGCTTCTAAGGCTGGGCAACATGGGAACCACCGAGAGCTTTCCTTGTGACCTTTCCATCAAAGGCATCACTGGTTTACTAGTATTAGGAGTTTAAAAATACAATAAACTCCAATTGCAGAGATGGGGGGGGGGAACCATCTAATGAAATTAAATAAGATAATGTGAGTGTTATTAGCAAGGGGCTAAGGTGTTAAGAGTGCAGACCTTGAATTCCATACCCACATTGGACACTATGGCTATCTCCACGTGCGTCCATGAAGTGCCACATTTTTAGTGGCCTGGTCTCCTTTTATCCATTTATATGGCAGGAACATCATCCCTGGAGCCATTGGTAGGCATTCACTGACTCTGTTAGACATCTAAGAGAAAAATCTGCATTTATGTGGCTGATAAGTGTTGCTCAGAACTTGTTTCAAATCCTTTTCATTACATACACAACAAACGAATGTCTAAGTGACATTCCCTAGATTCAATCTCAGCTAAAATTCTAAGAAAGTTTAAATGAAAAATTCCTTTGGTACATTCATATTAGAGATAAGAGGAAAGAACATCGTTTTCAATCCCATGAGAAAAAGCATCAAGGCTCTTCTTTTCAGCAGCAATTCAGAATCGACTGAGGAGGATGTTTAACCTCCGTCATTCAGTTGGGAATAGCATTCGGCGCACACAGGATTGGTGGTGGCATTTTAGATACGGAAGCTTCCCTAGGTTTCATCTAGTCCAAACTGTTCATTTTATAGTTGAGGAAATTGAGCACCGAGGCGGCTCAGTGGCTTGGCAGAGGTTACCTAGCTGGTTAGCAGAGGTGCGGGGACCAAACCAAGGCCCCCCAAGTTGCAGTTTTAAATTGTGTCCCAATGATTGCACATTTTGAACAGGGGACAGAATACGCCAGTCATTTGGGAACTAACTCCTGATAATAAAATGCTGTTTATCCTGCACTTAGGCGGATGTACTACAAACCTAATGGGTTTTTTTTGAAATGTCTGGTTTCTTCCTTCCCCTGGGCTCAGTTGGTGGCATTCTGCTTTTGTGTTTGTTTTTACAGGGCATCTGATGGGAAAAAAGAGCACGAGAGAGTCCCCGGATGTTTCTGAGGGGGGGAGTCTGAAGCAGCAGCTGCAGTACATTCTTTGGGAAGAAGCTGCAAGGAATTTGCTCAACCTCATTGAAGGAAAGGGGACCGGAAGCCATCAGTCCCCCCGGAGGGAGCTCCTGGCCATGCGACAGTCTGCTTGGGATTCCCAGGATGACAATGACTTTAAAGTTGTAGGTTCAAAAAGTAAAGGTATAATGGGCTGCTGGAGTAGGGGTGGGGCGGGGTGGGGTGGGGTGGAGGTGTTTGGGGAGAGTCAGAAGGAGGTTAGGTGTGAGCAGAGAAGAATAAAATTGTTTTATTTTTATCTTTATTCTGCAGGCCTTCACAGCCACTTAATTAGACAGATACCAATACACGCTGAGAACTGGGCAGACACTTCCATGTTATTTCTTTTCAACATAATAGAGGATTTTTCCTCCTAGCATCTCAAAAGGGTGTTGGTTCCACACTCCAATTTAGGAGTTTTTTTTTTTTTTTTTTTTTTTTTATTTCTAGGAGAGAGAGAGACAGCGTGAGCAGGGGAGGGTCAGAGAGAGAGGGAGTCACAGACTCTGAAACAGGCTCCAGGCTCTGAGCTGGCAGTCAGCACAGAGCCCGATGCGGGGCTCGAACCCACGAACTGCGAGATCATGACCTAAGTGAAAGTCGGACGCTTAACCGACTAAGCCACCCAGGCGCCCCCAATTTAGGAGTTTTATTAGTAACTGGGTTTAATAGCGATTGTGCCTTGATGAGATTTTTTAAAATCTGCCAGGCCCTCCAAGAATATTTTGATGGTGAAGCCAGAGATTATTTGAGTCAATTCCTACGTTTGTTTTTGATGAGCACTAGTGGGAGGGGCGATTCACATATGCTTTTATTTATTTATTTAATTTTATTTTTTAAACTTTTTTAATGTTTATTTATTTTTGAGAGACATGGAGAGACAGAGCATGAGCCAGGGAGGGGCAGAGAGAGGGAGAGAGACACAGAATCTGAAGCAGGCTCCTGACTCTGAGCTGTCAGCACAGAGCTGGATGTGGGGCTCGAATTCACGAACCATGAGATCATGACCTGAGCTGAAGTCAGATGCTCAACCAACTGAGCCACCCAGGAGCCCCCACATATGCTTTTAGAAGAGAGAATTCTGGTTTGTGACCTTTTATGCAAAATAGCACTTCTTTATACTTGTTCTAAGATTACCTAGTTCCAGTCTTCTACTAGTATTTCACAACGTGTTGAACATATCTAATCAACTGATTTGTCCTGTGTGTGGTCTTGTCGAAGAGAAGGACAAATAATTATACCAAATTGGCATTGCTTAGATACAAAGACAGTAAATGGGATGAAAAGGAAAATAAAATTTATAGAAAGAAAGCCAGGCAATTGAAAACGAAGTGATTCCCATTAACCTTTGAGAAGTTTCCATGAAATGTATATAAAAGGCAAAAATAATAACTGCAGTTCTTATAATACTAATGACAGGCCACTTGTATCAAGTCACTACTTTAACTAAGTACTGGCCTAAGCAGTTTGCCTCCATTTTCTCTGTGAATGCTCACAGCTGTCTTAGGAGGAAGATTCAAGAAAATTCTACCATTCTCTCCATTTTAAAGGTGAGGAAACAGAGACAAGTCGTATAGCTCTTCAGCGGCGAGAGGTGGGCAGGTGCTTGCACTGTGTCCCTTGGACAGTGTGCTGCCATGGGAGACGTCTCCTGGGGACCCGCTGGTCCTCGCTGATCTCAAATATGAAGGACACACCTAAAGAGAAATCTGTTCATTCAGAAAGTACATCTGGATTAAATCAACAAATACAGAAATAAGTTGCAGCTTCGCACAAAGTCCTGAGTGATTCCCTTGCTCACATCTGTGGTCTAGGTATCACGACCAGCTTCCTTCTTTGTTGGGGGCTTACATGGCTCTGAGGGCTTGGGGGATTTGTGACTGACTCCTCGGCCCCTGGCTGAGTCCTTTTCTTGGTCAGGTGACTTTATGGACTTCCTGTGGGTGGCTGTCCAACAGCAGTGCCTTCTCCTTTGTCTGAAGAGTAATGACAGTTGCTAACCACAAAACCCTCCAAAGCAATTTTACAAACACTGAAATGGACTTATACTCATAGCTCATTCATTTTTTTAAATTTGATTTTAATGTTTATCTAGTTTTGAGAGAAAGAAACAAACTCTGAGTGGGGGAGGGGTAGAGAGAGAGGCAGACACAGATTCCAAAGCAGGCTCCAGGCTCTGAGATGTCAACACAGAGCCCAAGGTGGGGCTTGAACCCATGAACCATGAGATCATGACCTGAGCTGAAGTTGGACTCTTAACAGACTGAGCCACCCAGGCGCCCCTTACACCTCATTCATTTTTAAAAAATTCTCTTAATGCTTATTTATTTCTGAGAGAGAAAGCAAGAGACAGAGCACGAGTGGGGCAGGAGAACAGAGAAAGAGGGAGATGCAGAATCTGAAGCAGGCTCCAGGTTCTGAGCTGTCAGCACAGAGCACAATGCAGGGCTCGAACCCACAAACAGTGAGATCATGACCTGAGCCAAAGTTGGATATTTAACCGACTGAGCCACTCAGGCGCCTCTTAGCTCATTCATTTTCACAACCCTTTGAATTGCTTTATTCCTCCAAACCTGGCCCTGCATAACCTTAGAATGTTTTCAAAAAATTCGGCTCTTTACTTAAACGTCAAAAATTTCCCATCATATTCAGGAGAACATTCTGTAAGCAGCGAAGCCGATTACAAAAGAACAACTCTGGAGAGATGTCTGAGGGGTCGTAGTATAGGGTGGGTTGAGTGGGCAGCCACAGACCATGAGTGTTTCAAGGGGACAATGTTTATCGGCATTCCTGTGACCGGAGGGAAAAAAGTCATCTTTGTAGAATCAGGCCTCACTTTCCTACTACATCTTTTTATGTTTTGTCTTCTTCTTCTTCTCTTTTTTTTTTTAGTGTTTTATTTATTTCTGAGAGAGAGAGAGGCAGCGTGATCAGGGGAGGGTCAGAGAGAGAGGGAGACACAGCATCTGAAGCAGGCTCCAGGCTCTGAGCTGTCAGCACAGAGCCCAACGCAGGGCTCAAACCCACGAACCGTGAGATCATGACCTGAGCCGAAGTCGGACGCTTAACCAACTGAGCCATCCAGGCGCCCCCTTTTTTACAAGTTTAGAAAGCCCATCCCATTTCATTCCACCTTAGGTTGAATAATTAACTATTGTACACGTGGTACCATTCTTTTGGATACATTTCCCAGCAATATAAAAAAATTCAGTGGTTGGAGTCGTTGTTGCATAGACCGAAAGAGTTCATTACTCTCCTTGCTTTGGAAATTCCATCTTAGTGAAAGAAGGTGAATGTGTAAATTGAAAACACCTTACCATTATCTTATTCACAAAAAGGGAGCACCAAGAGAACAGACCTATTAGGAATCCATACATCTCTCAGTGTTAGAAGGAAGTTTAATAACTAAGCCAAGCATTGCCAGAAAGTAGCAGCAGGAATTTTCAGAGACTGAAGGACTTTAAAAAAAATTTTTTTTAATGTTTATTTTTTGAGAGAGAGAAAGACCAGGGGAGGGGCAGAGAGAGGGAGACACGGAATCTGAAGCAGGCTCCAGGCTCTGAGCTGGCAGTCAGCACAGAGCCCGACGTGGGGCTCGAACCCACGAACCGTGAGATCATGACCTGAGCTGAAGTCAAACGCTTAACCGATAGAGCCACCCAACCTTAATCTTTTAACCGTACCCTTATTTCAAAATATTAATGGAACTTTTACCCTACGGCACGTAGCACATGAAACAACGTTCAGATCAGCCCCAGGGCCTCATCTATAACTCTGGATGTGGCTCTGGGTTGTCCTGGGTTTCAGTGAAGGTTGAAGCTGGCCTTAGAGTTGCTGTCGTAATTTGGACCTACAGCCATGCTCTCCACAGCCTTCGTTTTTTCCTCTTATTTGGCAGACACGAAAGGGCCTGTGAGTGCATTGCCGAGGGCATTATGGGAAGGAAGTAAATGTGCAGGTTTGCCCTTCCTTTTAAGGGATGACTCCCACTGTCCCATCGAATCAACATAGAGAACAGAAAGGTTGTATTTTTCAATATGTGAAACGCTCCAAAGGAAGTTCCAAATACAGGAAAGGCAGCAACATGTCATGAAGAATAACTAGAAATTTTCTGATTACCCCAACAGTTGCTATGAAGGAGCAGAGTGAAGTGACCCCCACCTCAAAGATAGCGCCCCCCACCCCAATAAGGGACCCCCTCCTGCCTCCAGATCATAGATCTTCCTAGGTTACTAATTCCTCTTTTCCTTGCAGCTTTACTTCCGTCCCCTTGAGCCAGACAGCTCAGATTCAATATTTTGAGCCAATGCGGGGGCTTTCTGAACTCTTTCCCACGTCTTCCGCTGGCCCCTTTTATGAGCGGTGCCTCATATTCAAGATGGATGGTAGCATCGTCAGGCAGGCTGGCGAACCCTTAATAGTGCAGCCCGGGCGTGTGGAGAAGAGCGAAACTGATTGGTCTGTGTAGGAATTGAACCCCAGGCCCTGGCCTCATTAACACCTGGTCAAAACAGTTGAGCCACAGCGCAAGTAATAACTGGCCTGAGAATATCAGTAATTCCTTTATTAGAAACAAATGGCTGCTCGAACCACTGGGGAGCCTGAATTGCCAGAGAATCTTGGAAAGTGTAATGAGCTCTACTCCTTTTGAAAAGTGTTTTCTCATCTCAGCATATAGAGGGCGCTAGAGGGGAATAAAGACAGTATTTCAAAATTACAACCACTCATTCCTCCTTCCGTCTAAACTTGAACAGGAGCCACGACAAGCGAACCACAAGAAATTTAGAACTGGCAGAAATCCAACTTAGCTCCCCTTGCCAAGCTGCCCGCACTCCTACCACTTACAGTCATGGCTTTGTAATATGTAATTGTGCAATTCGTAAGCTAGGAGTGGCAATGAGGCACTGCCAAGGTAAGCAAAGTAAGAATTATGATTCCACATTCGCCGATGCCCCCCCTTCCCCCCAGCTGACACTTCAGTAACAAATTCCTGGCGATAATACATTTAATTTCCAACTTTGGCCCAAAGACACCTGACTAGTCCTATCAGGATACAAGTGAAGCTAACAGAACAAAAAGAGCCATAAAGGTAGGGGCCCCAGCAAAAGAGGAAGTGAGTCTCTCTCTTGGAGGGGATGGCTGTCGTTCTCAAGCATGAATGTGCTCAGAAGATTTTGGAAAGCCGAGATCACTGGGCTCCACTCCAAGTTTCTGATTCAGTAGGTCTGGTGTAGACCTGGGAATTTGCTTTTCTAGGATGCTCCCAAGTGATGCCGATGGTGGGTTGGGAATGCCTTTGCTTCCAGCATTAGACTTCAGTATCGTTAACTATGTTTGTTTAACTCTTTTTAATATTTTTTAAGCTGATGGACTCTCTGCTCTAGGTTCTCAACGTGGCGGAAGGGACCCCCAGCTGAACTGACAGACAGCATCAGCCTCTCTCCAAGAAGCAAAGCAAAACTCTTAAGAGACTGCGATCTGCTGGTATCAATGCCACTGGGTCATCAATGAGATTTCCTTTGTGCAAAACACTTAACTATTCCTGTATCTTTCAACCTTGACTAAATTCACAATTTTCAAGTGACATCTTCTGCTTTGAACTTGTTGGCTGTGAATAATGTCCATTAAGAGTCTTCCAAATAATGCTCTTTACGTCTAGGCTATTTGTCCATTAGAGTCTAGCCCCCAACCTGTTACCACTCACAATAAAAATGTAATCACGTTGTCCAAAGGGCAGGTAGTTCTCTTATTTCAATTCTGAATGAAAAGATGTGGCTGTGATTAACAAACAGCTTGGTAATGAACTTGCGTGCTCACTGATGAAGGCAGGCTGGGTTCTTAACTCTCTCCTCGGAAGGCCACTTACTGAATCCTTGTAGTTGGCTGATAGCCTTTCTAGAGGCTTCAACTAGAAGCTCTCATTCCCTGGCCCTTACCATTACATGGGTGAGGCTGAAGGTAGAGGCTTATTGTCCCTTAATAATTCCCATTTCTTCAGCCTTTTCCATGACTGGGTATTTTGCCAGTGTTATCAGTATTCTCTTTATAACACTTTTATAAGCTGAGAAGGAGCATTCTCACTAGATGAAGAAACAGAGTATTAGAGAGGTCAAGTGACTTGGCCAAGGTCACATAGTAGATAGAACTAGGATTCAAACATCTAAAGTCACCAGATTTTCTGCAGCGTTTAACATTGTCCACATTGCCTCATTTTTTAACCTCCCCTTCGGTATATTTAAGCCTGGCAAATGGGGCTCTTTCTTCAAAACTTCATTGCCAATCTAGAGGAAAGTGATCCCCACAGATAGATTTAGTCAGATCCCCAGCAAAAGGAGAGGATGAATTTGAGAGATTCCCTTCCATTTCCAGAGAACATGGCCCGGTGGTTGGTAACACTCACCGGTTCCAAATTTATCATGACATTCACACATGAACAGATTTTAAAGCTCTCTGCCATATGTTTAGATTTCCTTCATTTAGGGAAATCGCATTTGAATCAGTAAAGAGATTTGTCTTGGTCTTGTTTTGATTGTCAAAGAACCACATAAGATGTGATGTTTTCTTTTTAATTCTTTTAAAACCACATTGACTCACAACTTACACAGAGCCAGATCTAGGGGAATACGTGAAGTGTGTTATCAACATCCCGCCACCTTCCTCTTCCTGAGGCTTTTCTGGTGTCTTTCCCAAGAACTTGATCCTAAGCTGTGTCAGCTAAAGTCTGTCGTGCAGCTAATGATCACGGGGTAAAGTCCTGTCACAAGGACTTGCCCTCTGACAGGACTCTCGTGAAGATGAAAACAGTGTTCCAGACCCAGGGGAAACTTTCTGTAATGGTGACCTTTCAGGCAGGGAGAGAAAGGGAATACTCCAGGAACCACCCCGTCTAGACTGTCCCTTCTTTGCTTGTGTCGTCAGAGTAAATGTGATCCTCTGTTTTAGCGGCAATTTTTTTTTTCTCTATGTGTTCTGAGAGACAAGAACAGCTCCCTGAAATCTCCTGACCCTTGCAGGGCTCCTCTGTACCAAGGCCAAGTCAGCATTATAATCCATTTAGTTTAGACATATACTTTGGGGCGCCTGGGTGGTTCAGTTGGTTACGTGTCTGACTTCAGCTCGGGTCATGATCTTGCAGTTCATGAGTTCGAGTCCTGCGTCAGGCTCTGTGCCGACAGCTCGGAGCCTGGACCCTGCTTTGGGTTCTGCGTCTCCCTCCCCCTCTGCCCCTCCCCTGCTCACCTCTGTCAGTCTTTCTCTCAAAAACAAATATACATTAAAAAAAATTTAAAAGAAGATATACTGTACTAGAAAAGCTTTCTCCTCCTCCTCCTCCTTCTTCTTCTTCTTTTCCTTCCTCCTCCTCCTCCTCCTCTTCTTCTTCTTCTTCTTCTTCTTCAAGTTTATGTATTTATTTTGAGGGAGAGAGAGAGAGAGGGAGTAGGAGAGGGGCAGAATGAGAGGGAGAGAGAGAATCCCAAGCAGGCTCCATGCCATTAGCACAGAGCCCTACTGGGGGCTCCATCCCATGAACCGTGAGATCATTACCTGAGCCAAAATCAAATCAAGAGTCAGATGCTTAACAGAATGAGCCACCCAGGTGCCCTTAGAAGAGCCCTTAGAAAACGTTCCTTTGCAAGTACAGTCCTATCACATATCATAGTGTCTGCCTGTTGGGTAGGGTAAGTTTTAGCTGCAAATAACACCATCCTTCTTCTCAATCTGTTTTAGTAGGAAAGGAAATTTAGGAGAAGATAGTAGACAGGGAAGACCAGAGAAATGGGCTCAAGGCTCAACAAGGAGATTCAATGGCCAAAGCCACGCCCCTGATCGAGGTGATGAGGTGGTCAGTGCATGCCCTGCTACCCCTGAAGCCTGCTCAGGAACTGCCTGAGTTTGCACTCTCTTTGCTTGAAGTGATACGTGCCGGCTCCCCAAAGCTTCTTTAAAGCTTTTTGGCTTACTTCCAAGTTAGAGTTTTGCATGTCTGTGTCTGATTGGTGGAACCCAGATCACATGTCTGGATCTAGCCACAAGGGAAACTGGGAAATGTAGTTTTAAAGATTATATTTTGGGAAAATGGGACGAAAACTACGGAACTCTATCAAAGAAAGGAGCGGGTGTTCAAACAATATGGTCAGAAACAGATAACATATCCCCCTTTCCTTTCTTTCTCAAGAAAAAAAGAAAAATAATTTCCTCTTTGATTTCTGCCCAGCCCCTTCTAGAGAACAGTTAATACCTAGCCCGGGAATCTGGGGACACAGGAGCCCGGGGACTGTTTTCTACAGCACACAGACCAAGTGTGTGTGCACAGGGCAAGAAGAGAAGATCGCTTTTAAGAGGTGACAATATTTAAAAGCCCTTGCAGAAAAGCAGGATAAATAGGAGGAAGAATCCTGAAGGGAAGAAAGCAATAATCTCCTTCAAATTTGTTCTTTTAAAAACAGTCTTTTTTTTTTTAAGTGCTACAGGGTAGATTGCTCAGGCAATTTGGTGGTCTTTGCTTATGATCCGAGGTTCAGTAACACACTAAGCAGGCATTTCAAGCTGCGTAGTACAATTTCTAGCTCCACGATGTCCACCTTTCGGCCCCTACTGGGGATACTTAATCATCGCCGAGCATTTTAACCCAGCTCAGATGAGGAGGCAGTAATCCAAGTAAATTGTGGAATTTATGTTATTCACTTCCGCAACCACAGGCTGCTTCATTCAGACCCTGTGAAATAGCTCTTCACAGGAAGCCCACAATGACAGGCCATTGCAATTCCCAAAGCAGACGCACCATGGTCATCACGTGCGCTGAAAGGGCTCTTACCTTTGCCTCTTGGGGCTCTGTGTTTTCCAATGAATCACCTCCTTAATTAGACCCAGATGAAACACAGAACCATCCCTCTGCCTCCTCTCTCATTTTCCTACCACTCTCCCCAGCCCACATAATTTATGGAACATATACCAACAGAGGTGGCTCTACCCACAGGTGGATGGGGACCGTGTCTAAGAATAGAATGAGAATGTTCTCGGTCCTTCCACTCAGCTGCTGTAAGCATGCCCTGCTCTTGCCTTACTCTCCCACCAGAGACCCCAGAGGGGTGGACTCTCCTCCCTGGATAGGACTATGCTCTCGCCCCAGATGCCACTCTTCCACGCTTCTGCAGTGGCTGTGATATTAGGGTACAAAACACACCTGACCTACTATTTGAAATCTTCAGCCTTTGTCCTTCGGTTGGAACTGACCAGTTCTAGGGGCGCCTGGGTGGCTCAGTCGGTTAAGCGTCCGACTTTGGCTCAGATCAAATCTCATGGTTTGTGGGTTTGACCCCGCATCGGGCTCTGTGCTGACAGCTCCGAGCCTGGAGCCTGCTTCGGATTCTGTCTCCCTCTCTCTCTGCCCCTCCCCCACTCATGCTCTGTCCCTGTCTCAAAAAAATAAGTAAACTACTAAAAAATTAAAAAGAAGAAGAAGAAGAAGAAGCACTGACCAGTTCTAGTCACAGAGGAGGCTGAGAAATGTAGTTTTTCCAGCTGGGGACATTGCTACCACCGACCCTACCCACCCACACCTTCCCCACCCCCAGTAGCCACATTTTTCTTAATATTCATAAAGAAAAGAAGAGGAGGGATGTTGGGTAGACAGTGTTGGCCATGTCAGCTATGACGAGATTGAATTCTGGGAAGGAACCAAGCTGGAATTAGTGGGTCGTGACATGACGTGACTGGAAGACTTCTAGACAACAGGTCTCCGGGTTTAAGAGGAGATCACCCTGCCCCGTGTCTCTTTTGAACGTTAACTGCCAGAGATCCATGGTTTCCAGACTGTGTACTTTCTCTGTGGCCCGACCTATATATCCTTCATCTTTGAAAACAAGGGGCTACAATAAGCATCGTGTGTTGTGGATTGGATGTTGCCTTTAATTGCTAACAGTAAACCTAAGATGGGTCCTTTCCAAATACCTATTAGCATGGAAAAGCCCCTTCCAACAGCCTCGCACCTGTCTTTATACATGGATGCGTGTGTCTCTGTGTATGTGGGTGGCAGATTTGCACTCTTCCACCCACATCCCTTCAGGAACAGAAGGACTTGGTAAACAAACGGGAAGAAGGAAGGTCCGTTTGCCTTTTTGTTTGTTTTATGTTTCAGCTTTCTGGGGGTATAACTGACGAATGAAAACTGTGTCTATTTAAGGTATACAATATGATATGTTGATATGCATGTACATTGTGAAATGTTTGCCACGGTCAAGCCAGTTAATACATCCGTCACTTCACATCACCTTTCCTTTTCTTTTTGATGCAGAGTTAAGATTTCCTTTCCGCAAATCTCAAATATCCAATATGGATTTATTAACTAGAGTCACCATGCTGTGCATTAGATCTTTAAATTTTTTTTTTAATGTTTTATTTATTTCTAGGTCTAGGAGAGAGAGAGAGAGAGAGACAGCGTGAGCAGGGGAGGGTCAGAGAGAGAGGGAGTCACAGATTGAAACAGGCTCCAGGCTCTGAGCCAGCAGTCAGCACAGAGCCCGACGCGGGGCTCGAACCCACGAACCACGAGATCATGACCTAAGCGAAAGTCGGATGCTTAACCAACTAAGCCACCCAGGCGCCCCGCGTTAGATCTTTAGAATATTCATCCTGCATAACTGAATGCTATGCCCTTTGACCTACATCTCCCCATTCCCCCTCCAGCTGCTGTCCCTGAGCCCTGACAGCCACCA